CTTCATTTTCATCTTCATCTTCATCTTCATCTTCATCTTCATCTTCATCTTCATCTTCATCTTTATTCAAAACCATTTCTTTTGATACCCATATTGGGATACTTTATTCATTTTAATAAATAATTTGAAATTTATTTTCGTATATACCCTTTAAAAAACTAAAATCATATTGCATATCTACATGTCAAGCTCTTTCATTTGACTCCTCATCTTTTAAAGTCGAACGAACGATGCAGATTTTATGACACGGGGTTAAATATTTAACGCAAACATCTGCGGCAGAGAAATTTTGAATTCGATTTTCTAACAAATATGAGGTATTGTGAAACTGGCCAGGAACCGAGCGGCAGCATTGGCTACTCGAGCTATAAGATCCACGTAGTGTCACATGGCAATCAATATGTTAATACTATTCAGCGATTTAGTAGGGGAAAGCTAATATGTATGTAAACTCGATGAATTACATATAAAATGAAAATTTACCTTAAATGGATTGCATCGCAATATAAAATACAGTCATTTAAATATTTGCATTGAGTAGAATGCACCCTCATTGATTCATACTAAATGCATATGCGCATACATATGTATGTATGTACATATTTACATCTACATATCCACATATATTTATACGGTACTGTTTAGATAAAAGTTACCACTGCATGCATATTTCAAACTATAAATAGGGAAAGAAGGGCATGCTTTTTTCCCGAAAGAAATTTCTGTTAACGATTAAAGTATAATTTATTATAAAAATATGGTTTTCTTATTTAAAAAATTTGGATATGCAATTGAAATTTTCGATAAAAAAAAAATACCCCGAATATTTTATAAAAAAAACACATTTAGGGCCGATTTCATAATAAGATTAAAGAATACTTTAAAATTTAAATGATGCTTTATTTGACTCATCGATTTCCCTTTAAAGTTATAGGTGCCCATAAAGGCTCTTTAGTTAAATACCCAAAATGGAAATTTAAATGACATAAAGGTCCCCTTTTGTAAGAAAAAAAAGTATGTCATTTTCGTAGCATAATTTCATATTTATGACAATCAGCTAATGCAATTTTGCCGAGATCAGCGTTGCCAACTTTGTTATTTTAATTTAAATGAACCTTTTGTTATTATTCAATTGCCATTGTATTATGAAAACAATTCTTGTTTAAAGTACATTTAAATTACACTTTAACTAAAAGAAAACTTTTGTAAAAGGAGCTTTAAGTGCTTTATTATGAAATTGGCCCTTATTCTATTGAACTTTTGATTCAAAATGTTGTTATCCATTTCAAAAATAGTTCCACATTCTGCAATACTAAGAGTTATGGAATTTACTACCTTTTGGCATTATTTCCTCGTCACTATCATTTTGAACTGTATTTTATGTAATTATTTTCTTTACAATCAAATGCTTCTTAATTTTTTCGTAAATTTGCACTAATTAGTCTTTATATCTTAGCCTTAATTTGGGTTTACCAAAGGTAAATACTTTGAGAGAAAGGCGAAAGGGGCAGGTAAGTCTTCGGCGGTTAGTTTATTCTATATTTTCTTTAACCATATGCTAATTTCCTCCATTTTGAGTTCTTTCGACTCCACCTTTTGTCGAAAATAAGGCCTCAAACTCAAAACTGGAATAGAATCGGAACTGGTGACTATTCATTCGGCCAACCCTATACAGTTTTTTTTTGGTCTTTTTATACAAAGTCTAAGAAAAACTACATCTGGAAAAGACTTGCGTTCCCCATGTACTTATCCTCCAAAGTTTACACTGCCGGCATATGCAAATAGGGAGTAAAATTTTAATACTTATTAATAAAATTAAAGTAAATTATGTGCAAAATTAACAATAAAATAGTTTCTTCACAAAATCTATAAGGACCGATCTCTTTTCAAAAAAGACTGTGTAACAGTTATTCGTCGGCACGCTGAATACAAGGGCTCATTAGTAAAAAATTGGTATTTCATAAAATTTTATGAAAATGAGCGTGGCGCCGCCCACTTATATCATATATCTATATCCCAAAAACTATTTCACCCGTCTCGATCAAATTTAGTATACATATTGCGCTTAGACCCTTAATTACACTCCTGAAAATTTTTCCTCACTCTGAAAACCTATTTTCTTGTTGTACTCGACCCTACTTTCAACCTACACTAAGTATTGTAAGTTAAGGTTTACTACCTTTCCGTGCAAATAGTCATTAATTATTAAAGTACTGGGCTTGGAGGCTTTTCGAAATACTGTAATATCTTTAACTGTTCTTCAAACAATACGAAGGTTCTTGGAATTTTATGATTTTCTTTACAGAAAAAATATGAAATGAATATTTTGAAAGGGCAGAATAAAATTTAAAACGATCGAGGCAAGATCACTATAAAATTGTTTAATTTTTTTAAAATTTTATAAATGTGTGATTTTTTGTAGCACCGTGTTGTTATTATTATGTGTATCAGAGTAGCCAACTCATTTTTGAGAAATTTCGTAAAATTCCCCACCCACAGATATCTCCTTACTTACAAAAAAAAAATATAAATAAAAAATTACGTATTTTTATATATTACTGGTCCTTCTTTTTTATTTTCAGACGTAATTAATCTATGTACTGATAAACCAAACCAAACTTTTATAAAGGTAGTTAACAAATAAAGAATAAACAAGTAAGAAAGTCTAAGTTCGGGCGGAGCCGAACATTAAATACCCGGCGCAAGTATTAAATATATGTTTTTTCACCCTTCCGAAACCTTCCGCTAGTTGGTAAGCCGAGGTGTATCAATTTTGGGTAAATTAGCGTCCTTCAATTTCGAAATACTGAAGTTTCAAGCATTTCTTAAATTTACCGTTATATGAGAATCGGCCATTATTTTAGTCCGATTTCAATAATTTTCAACGTTTTGCTTACACGTGGCAAGTACAATAACGATAACGAGTTTGGTACAAATTGGTAGAACGGTTACTGATATACTTATATGTGATCATAAGTGGGCGGTGCCACGCCCATTTTCCAAAATTTTACCATAAACGTATTTCTTGGTAAAGAATTGTTGCAAGCATCAATTTTGAATAAATTAGCTTCAA